CACGAACCCGACATGCCCCTTGCTGACCTCCTCTCTCGCATGCTCCACCACGATCGACTCCTCCACCCCCACCACCAGGCCCCCCCTGGCACCTCCCGCAGCCGCTTTTTCCACCACATCACCCCCGAAGACACCACCTCCATCACTTCCTCAGACGAGTTCACCACATCTGACCCCGACGCATCTTTCGATTCACTCGACTCTTCATCCCTCACTTCCGAGGAACTCGATGTCGTCCAGTTCATGAGAATGGAGCGCAGAGATCGCAACTCTCGACCACCCTCATCTCCCCTACCTCCAAGCAAAAGGGGGTTGCTTCCGTTGTCGCCAATTGGGGCACCAACAAACCAACTGCCCCAACGCCGCACGATTCACCCGTCAGTCCGCCTCCACGCGACCCGCAACCTCCGCATCACCGCCCTCGGCAAGCGCGGGCCCCTCATCATCATGAACACAGTCCCCAGGACACTGACCCGACATCAACATTGCATTTGTCAGCCTACCCATCAGTCGCACCGATGGCCCATCTGACATCGACGATTCGTTTGCCTTCCCCCTCTCCGGCAACGCCCCCTCCACCGGACGATTCCCAGGCATCGCAAACACCTCCCACTTCCTCATGCTCCTCTACCCTTCCTCCAAATGCATCCACTATCACCTTCTCCGATGTTGTTGAGGAACAAGCCCGACACGATCGGCTTGTCCACCTAGGCAACGAACAACGCGGCCTCAACACCATCATCTCCACCGCCAACTCATCTCGTTTCCACCTCAAATTCATCGCTACCACCCTTGGTGCATCTACAACTAAGTTCCGGGCCCTCCTCGACATTGGAGCCACCGGTAACTTCATCACCGACGCGTGTGTCCGCAAAGCCGGTCTTACCTCTTCCGGCTATGACTCCCCGATCACRATTCGCCTAGGGGACAAAGACACCGCCGTCATAGTAGACAGCACGGTTCCCGAGACCATCATGACCDTCGGAACCCTCCGCAGTCAGGTCTCGTTTGATGTCATGCACTTGATGTGCGACATCGTCTTAGGAACCCCGTGGCTGGABCGCTACATGCCATACGCATTCCACCCCAACTTCCTTCGCCTCACCAACCCCCCCGACACAACCATTGACATCCCCTATCTCCCATAYCCGACCTCCCAAGGCTCYGTCACCYCGCACCAATTCCTCCACATGGCTCGCCTAARCCCCGACTCCGCCTACTACTGTCTTGTCCTTGATCGCGAAAGTCCCAAGGAMTTACTCCCGACGGACAAACCCGATCAAGCCGCGCCCTCCAACGCCGCCATCACTTCAATCCTCGACAAGTTCAGGGATGTCTTTCCCGAGTCCTTACCCGCCGGACTACCTCCGGATCGTGGTGTATCGCATACCATCGATTTGGAACCCGGACATTCTCCACCTTGCCGCCCTCCATACCAACTCTCTGTCCCCGAAGCCGAAGAAATGAAACGGCAACTCGGTGAACTCCTTGAAAAAGGGTTCATTAAGCCAAGTTCATCCCCCTTCGGAACCAGCTGCCTTTTCGTCAAGAAAGGTGAAACTTCGGAACTCCGCATGTGCACAGACTACCGCGCCTTGAACCGGATCACGATCAAGAACAAGTACCCCCTACCKCGGATTTCCGAGCTCCTTGATCGTCTCCGTGGAGCCAAGTACTTTACCAAGATCGACCTTCGTAGTGGCTTCCACCAGATCCGTATCCGCGAGGAGGACACTCACAAGACTGCCTTCCGCTCTCGGTTCGGACACTACGAGTTCCTCGTGATGCCATTCGGACTCACCAATGCCCCCGCTACCTTCCAATCCACCATGAACCACATCTTCCGCAACCTCCTCGAAGTCTGTGTCGTTGTCTACCTTGATGATATCCTTGTCTTCAGCCCCACCTTCGAGTCCCACCTTCAGCACCTCCGCCAAGTCCTCGCGATCCTCCGAGAGCAGAAATTCTACGCCAAGCTCAGCAAATGTACGTTTGCCACTTCGAGCGTCGAATACCTCGGCCATATTGTCTCCGCTGAAGGCATCTGTATGGACCCCTCAAAGGTCACAGCCCTCGTCGAGTACCCCCCACCCAAGACCCTCCTCCAACTCCGTTCCTTCCTTGGCCTTGCCAACTATTACCGCCCGTTCATTCGCAACTTTTTCGAGATCTCGTACCCTCTCCACGAACTCACCCGCAAGGACGAGCCTTTCCATTGGAACGATCGCTGCCAACAAGCTTTCGACTTACTCAAGCAAACCATCACCACGGCCCCCGTCCTCAAGATCGCCGACCCCACTCGCCATTTCTATGTCACCACTGACGCCTCCGACTTCGCCATCGGAGCCGTACTGTCCCAACATTTCCCCCGCGTCACCGCCGAGACCCCCCCCATCAAGGACTCGTCCACTCACCCCGAGGCTCCACCTGGCAAATACCCTATCGCCTTCACAAGCAAGAAGCTCCTTCCCGCGAAGATGAATTACCCCTCCAACGAGAAGGAACTCCTCGCCGTGATTCACGCCCTCACAGTCTGGCGCCTGTACCTCGACGAGCAATACTTCACCATCCGCACTGACAACACCATCGTCTCCTCCATCCTCTCCAAGAAAGATATCACTCCACGCCAAGCCCGCTGGCTAGACTTCCTTGCCCAGTTCACATTCACCATTTGCCACACCCCCGACAAAAGCAACCGCATTGTCGATGCCCTCTCGCGACGACCCGACCACAAGCCCCCCGAAAAAGTCTACGCCACCATGACTCATATTCAACTCCTTCCATCGCTTCATCATCGATACACCCAAGGCTATCTCTCCTGCCCAGACTTCGCCACCATTTACAACAAGCTCCGCGATCTTGACTCAGTTCCCGACTACTCCCTTCACAACAATCTCCTCTACATCGATACCAAAGGCACTCGCCGACTTTG